TTGGGTTTGGATGCACCTAGAGTAGTACAGTTGACAAGATTACGAGAAAGGAAGTGAAGGGAAGAAGGGGTAAATTTTTCGGAGTAGGGAGATTAGACCACGGGAATTTCTGAAGGGTAAAAAAGGTCATCGAAGCCAAAAAACACAGGAGAATTCGCCGGGAATTATTATCCGGCCGTTGAGGAAGGCGAGAAACTGGTTTTTCGGTGATAAGTGGTGGAGATTTGTGAAAGCCGGAAGGTTCCTATGTGAAAAAATTTTGGCGGTGGGTCTTTTTTTTCAGAGATTTATTGTATATCTAAAATTTAGTGGACGGTAGGGAACACAGTAGTCGCTTTGGCCGAGTGGTTAAGGCGTGTGCCTGCTAAGTACATGGGGTTTCCCCGCGAGAGTTCGAATCTCTCAGGCGACGCATATGTATCATTATTACATTTTTTACCCTTTTTTTTTTTTTTTCTAAAGTTTATTTTTGTGAGAAGTGGGATGCCAATTTTTCTAGGCTCTTCACGGTACTCTCTCTCTCTAGGGAAGCGCAGCTACTTTCTCTCTCCTTCGGACTTCAAAAACCATCCTTTCACTGCTCTGGAAGAGAGAGAAAAAGCTTAGAACCCATATCCCATTAGAGAAACGTTGCTAAGCAGGCCTGAAACATCAAACCCAAAACAGGTAGAGAAGAGAGAAACGAGAAGGAAAAATTGGGTTGGAGAAATAGAGAGAGAAAGAGGGATCCCTGAAAAGGAAATGAAAATTTGGGTTGGAGAAGTAGAGAGAGAAAGAGGCAAAGGACAATGGTGGTAGTAAGAGTGTCAAACCCTCCACTGTGTTGCTTCTAGTGTAGAGAGACAGAGAGAGCGGCAGAGTTGGAGCCTCTCTGTCATTTTTGTTTTTCGTGGAGAGAGAGACCTTTCTGGAACCTCACTGGTTTGCTTTTCGTGGGTGGATAAACGGGGTTCGAGAGAGAATGTGAAAACCCATTGATTCACTTTCTCGTGATGTAGAGAGAGAAAGAGAGAAGAGAAGCCCTGATCCTCTCTCTGCTACCTCGGGTACGCCGTCTCCAACCCAAATTTTCTTTCTCGTCCCCTTTGCTGCAATTCGTAGTAAATCCCCCCAAATAATCACCCGTATCCCTAAACCCCTCGTCCCTTTAAAGCCCTCCCTATCTCTCTCTCTCTCACAGTCTGTATACCTCTTTCGTCCCCTCTCCACTCTAGAAATCAATGATTTTCCGGCGAATCTCTCCGAATTGTGGCCGACAAGGTCGCCAGAGTTTATGAGAAACGGGGAGGGGACCATGAGCCCTAACCCTAGAAACAGAGGCTTCTCTACTAACTTTCAGTCGACGGTAGCCATTAATGGAGGTTTTCTGGCGAATTATTCCTATGGTTTCCGATAGCTTTGGAGAGAGAGCTTCCTGTTTTTTTTTTTTGGGATAACAAATAGTTGGCCAAGATTTCAATCCAAGACTTCAAATACCGTATATTTGTTTTGGTTTGCATGATATAAATTCCGTTTGATGATAGCATAATTTTGTTGTGCGTTTTTTTTGTCCATAAATTTTCTTTTTATTATACGCTCTTTTTTCGTACGCCTTCCAATCCAATATGGACAGTACATAAGTTTCTCTTTTATGTGCTCTCTTTTTTCTCACACCCTCCAATTATAAGATCTCTATCTTGTTTATCTCTTACTTAACATTATGCACTAGTGAGTGTCAAGACATGTGCTCTATACTTAGGGGTGGCAATGAACTCGGACCCGACTTAGGACCCATTGGATATATTTGAATGGGTCTGGGCATAGATCCAATATTTGGACTTGGCGGGTCAGGTCCAAGTCCAAAATATGGACTTGAATACTATTTGGGTTTGAGTCTGGGTTCGGTTGGACTCGACCTATACCTGTAAACTATTGAAGATAAAACACTTCAAAGCCCTATTTGTTTTAGTGTATTAAGGATCGTATACAGTAAGAATTCATAATCATATTTAGCTATTAAACGACAATTAAGACAACTTAAAATCTAATAACGGATTGCGACCTTGTTGCCAATGATTTGGGTGTATGATGGTAAAGAGAGCCAAAAAAAATAAAAAAACTCATAGTGAGGGTGGCAATGGACCTGATCAAACCCGGGACCCGATATGTATGGCTATAGGTCCAACATTTTGGCCCGATGGATTGGGTCCGGATCCATAACCTAGACCCGAATACATTCGGGTCTGGGCCTAGGTCCAACCGGACTTGACCCATACCGGACACATTACCACCCCTACTCTTAGCATTGAACAAAGATATAGCTTTTTCATTGTTATTTCAAGTTCACTTCTGATGGGCCTTTAACATTTTGAACCATTGAACTAATTTACAGCTGTGCTTATTACCTCAAAGAGAATGCACTTTTGCATGGCCTTTAACCTGTGGGTGAGGTTTCCATAAAGTGCCCTCCTTGTTTTTTTTCTTCTTTTTTTGGACGTATTAACTGTAGGAATAGAACTCCTTATGCCTTTACATCGAGTTTTGGCGCCGGCACACAAACTACCGAGGCTAAGTGGCCATTCCTATAAGGCGCCCTCTAGAAGTTAAGGGTACCTTTAAAATGGGGAAGCTTTATACGCTTTCCTTATAACATAGAAGTTCTATTTTTCTTTTTATCCAATCGTCCATTCTGAATGGAAGGCTAAGATTGTTCCAATCACAATGTCACGTCTCTACACTATTTTATTTTTAATTTTTTTCTATAAACTACTGTGACACCAAATTTTGGATATCCATTCCTCTATTAAACTCACACTAGCTAAATATATATATATATATATATATATATATATATAATCCAATAAAATAAAATGACCAAAATACCTTTGAAAGTTTTAAGGGGTATTTTGGTCATTATAATTTATCAAAAAATTATTTTTAATATTTTTTCTAGGTGCGCTCCAATGAGAAGATGGCACATACTAAATTTCATATTCATATAATTTGTATAAAAAAAACTAAAATTAAAATACTTTGAGACGTTGGATCTAAGATCAAACGGTGAGTGGTTTTCTTGATCAAAATTGGACGGTTGGATGGTAGGGGGAGGATAGAACTTCTATGCTGCAGGGGAAGCATAAAAACCTTTCCCTTTTAAAATTTACTTAGAGATGTAGTTTTTTAGCCATAAACCTGGTTTTAAAACGTAATTTTATCCTCAATTTTGAAATTTAAATATTAAAAAATGGTTCAAATCGAATAGATCTATAATTGAAAATAAATTGTCCAAATAATTTGTTACAAGATTTGTTATTTTTTAGATTTGAAATTCTTTTTTTCTTTATATCTACACGTCTCAAAGTCGAAATGATTAATTTGAGGATTCTCTAAAGTCGGGTTCTTCAATATTAGAATTGTCTTCTAAAGGGTTTTTGAGGTGTACCTTACGTCAATAGTACACGGTTGCAAACCCTAGCCATCTTCTCTCTCACTCAATTTCACCAAAAGATATTCTACTCCCACGAAGTACAATGTCCATTTACTAGCTTATGTAAAACTCCATCTAAAATTAATTTTAAGATCCTAAATTTTAGGCATGTGACCTCTTCAAGCCATACACTATCTTTCATAAAAAGAACTTCCTAATTGTACCTTTTATGTTTCCCAAATAGATTGATTTGAACAAGGAAGTACAAGTACACTATACCCTCGAGAGCGCATAGTATACGTGCTTAGGGGTGGCAATGGATTGGGTGGCAAGCCCGGCCTTAAAAAACTAGGGCATGAGCCATGAAATATGACTGATAGGGCTAGACCATGCCAAGCCCGATACCTATTTTTTTTATCTTTTTTGCATTATTTTTCTGTAATTTTTTTTATTATAGGAATTTAGATATTTTATTAAAAAAAAGCTAACAAAAATTACAAAGTCGGAGACAACTTTCTCATAAAAAAGGTACCTCATTGACAAAAAAAAAAATCTACCAACACATTATCTTCCCGAAAAACATACACAAAAAAAGAAGCGGGCCAGACGGACGGGGCTTCAACGCCCTTAGGGGAATAGGGCCAGGCCAGGCTAGGGCAATGCCAGCCCTAACGTGCTCCACAATTTTTTATGGAACTCTTCCAACTGTAAACCATGAAGACTATTAATTACACTTGGCTCTTGGTCACCTATGTGGAGCCAATTGGCTTGATAACGTACAAAAAGAACTTGTTATAACGTCAAAAAAGATTCTTCTCTAAACCGTTGAGAGTTAAGTTATCGCAGCCGGTCATTGTTATTTTGAATTGTTTCACTTTTGACTGACTGCCCATTAACTTTTTGAATAATTTATGGAAAATTATAAATAAAAAAAACGGAATACTACGCTTTCTAGGCAATTTAACCCGATCAAAAAAAAATTTCTCACTTTTTTACCAAAACAAACTTACTATGCAAATACCCTAAAAGAAATAGTTCAATTTTTTTAGACAAAAATGCTCTTTTTATACAAACAAAATGGTTGATTATTGGACCCAGTAGCAAATTGTCATAGCGCACCATCATATTGTATCAGACCACTCTGAAACAGCTATTGAACCGAAATTGAGTATTGTCAAACTATCCTTAGCATAGTACCAGAGTCCTGAAATCCACTAATATCTCTTGTTGGACCACTCTTTGCAATGGTCGGACTGCCTTTTGCAATTGCAGGACCAGTAAGGCTACAATTGCAGGATCAGTGCCGGAGCTCTATTGTTAGACTGTATTTTACATAATACTGGAACCCTACTACCGGACCACATTTACACAATACCAGAGCCGTTATTTTAGTGATGCAGTGGAGAGAAGCTTGAGTAAGGTAAAAATAAGAGGGGGTGCTTTAGATATTTTTTTATTTTTTTATTTGTAGGGGATATTTGTATAGAAAATTTATTTTGAATAAAAAATAACAAAAAGAATTGAGGTGGAGGTAAATTTTATAGAAAATGTAGTTTTAGGTTTTTTTTTAATTTTTTTAATAATTTATCTCTCTTACACCCTTTCTCTTTCTGACCTCCTCTCTCTAACCTGCCACGCTCGCCAAATGTTAGGCACCTCCCCTGCAGTCCGCCACTCCGATGCACGCCTTGGCGCTGCCCTCTCTCTCTCTAACCTGCTCTTTCTCTCTCTCTCTCTCTGCGTGCTCATTACTCCCTCTCTCTAACCTGCTCTCTCTTCCATTCTCCCTCTCTCTCTCTAACCTGCTCTCCATCTGCGCACTCATTACTCTCTCTCTCTCCTCACGCCACAAACACCACATATGATCCTGCTAACCCTACATGCCGCACACTCTCTCCACTTTTCTCTCCACACTCGCCAACTCTCATTCCCTCTCTCTCTACTTTCTCTCTCTAACCCCACCCACCTCAATCACTACCGTCCACGTTAATCCTCTCCGAAATCTCTGAACCTCTCTCTCTCTCTCTCACTAAAACCGTAATATCTCTCTCTAGCCTGAAGCCTCTCTCCCCCTATGCGGCCACTGCAGTCTGAGCCTTGTATGGGCCAAGTGTCACCTCTAAGAAACCTACCCCGTCGCATGCAAACCACGCCATTAGTCCACCACCGACACGCAATTACCCCCCCCTCTCCCCATATATTTTTGACCCGATCCCCTCTTCCTCTCACCACTCCTCTCTCTAATCTCCATTTCCCACCTTCTTTCTCTCTCTAGACTCTGCCTTCCATCTGATCCTCATCAACCCAGAATACCCATTTCCACACACACTCTCTCTAGTCTCCATCAAACCTCAAGGCCTACATTTCTCTGTGTTAATCCCCTGTTTTGTGGTCCCGTGAGTTTCAAATCCCCTGTTTCTCGACTTGGTGTCTCAGACTTTTGCGGTGCAGTTTTGCTTCTTTTCTTTTTTTTGGGATATAGAATTCAGTGGTCTTAGCTTCTTCTTACTCTCTCTCTCTCTCTACAAATGGGTGACGACTCGAGCGTGTCCACTGCCGAGAGCCCCCCTGAAATCACCTCCGGCTCCGAGACCGAGCTCCTTCGGGTACAAGGGGCCCAACTTCTCTTAATCAACCAACATGAGACCATCCCCTTTCGCACTGGTGATTTTGTCATTCGTTTCATTGAGCAAAACCAGACTTCTCTTGCCATGGTTGCATGCTTGGTTGGTGACCAACAATGGCCAGCAGCCATGGACGTCAAGGTCTCAAAGGTCGGTTTCGGCAAATACTCCTTCTCTTTGCAGGGGCTTCTTTATGGTTTGAATTTGCCTGAAAATTCATTAGCCGAGGAAATGCTTCAAAGCTTGGAGGCTCAATTGAAGAGGTTTTGTGACTACAACGACACTTCTCAAGCCTTTAAGGGTAAGGACTTCTATGCTAAAAATTTCGAGATCGTATATTAGGAGACCAACTATTTATTTTTTAACAAAGAGGTCACATTCTTTTTTTCTTTTTATTTTTTTTTAACTGTGAAATTCAATTAAAGTGTTTCACACTATTTAAAAAAGTGTCTAAACTCTAAACAATGACACATTATGGATTTCCCAATTCCAAATGTAATTTCTAATGATGCTTGTGACGCCCTTGTAAAAAAAAAATTTAATGTACATATAAACACTACATCATGACTCGTATACATTATTGCATCATTGTCATCCAATCAACTGAGAGATGGTGATGGAGAGAGTGGGGGCAGGATGGTGATAGAGAGAATGGGCCCATGAATCGGGTCATTTCATGTTTCGGTGGGTTCCTCTCTCTCCCTCCATCACCGTTCATGCCTTGATTGGACAATAATTATATTCATGATCATATAATTAAGGGCATGTGATCATTGTATGCTTTTTTATTTTTGGGTAAGTGGGGGAGATGGTCTCTTAACCATTTTTTCATGAAAAATAAAATAAAATTACGCAGCTCATAAATTTACAACCCTACAATAGGGTAATTATGCTTCGTCGTGAAGGAAAGGACGAAAATTACGCATCTCATAAATTTACAACCCTACAATAGGGTAATTATGCTTCGTCATGAAGGAAAGGGCGGGAAATACAATTAGGCCATCTAGTGCATCAAATGATGGCATAAAAAAAAGTTGTGGCTATATTAGCGAGAGTGTCGGCCACCATATTGGCCTCACGATAGATGATCATTATATGCATTGCTATTCAAATTGTTACTCAAGCTCAAGCATCCAAGTAACTTGAGATAAATCAATCCTAGTTTCTTAGGTTTATCTCAAGAGACTTAGTGATCAGAATATCCTATTGATCAGAATATACAAATTTGTCTTAAATAGATAAATATATATGATAATAGTAGAAATAAATCATAGACTATACCTATACTTATTATAAAATATAAAATATAAAATATTGAATCTATCCTTCTTCTATATCCATATTAATCTAATAGATAATATATAATCCTTTCAAAATCACAATAGGGAAAGGAGATGAGAGAAGGGACAGTAGAGTGAAATTGGAATATGAGAGAAAGAGATGCCATAGGCACAAGAGTGAACGAAAAAAAAAAAAGGAAGAGTGAAATACTATGAACCAATGGAAACACTAGTAGATTGGATTGAGTTACACCGTTCAATCCATTAATGGATGGTTATCAAGAGAGTGGGGCCCACCATTTGTTAATGCTTGTGTCCTATTACAATTATTTGTTCTATACTTAGAAAATGGCACCATAAATTCTGGGACATAATAAGTGCAAACACCAATGCATACACATTTTGACAAACTATATATAATAGCTAAATTAAATTAAAAATTAATATTAGTTAATATGGCTGTTTTGGAACAAACTTCCAAGTTTGGACCATAAGAGCAATACCCAAACGGGGAAAAGGGATGTGGTGTGTCATATTGGCATTGGTAAGCATTTTTGGTTTAGATTTTTTTTTTAATTCAAGAAATCACGTTGTGGTGTGATGCAAGAGGTACAAATACAGAACTCAAGATGCCACGTTGTGGAACTTATAGCCCCTTGATATTACCGTGTTAGGCCCCTGATATTACGGTGCCCTCCCATTGCCGCAATGAATAGGCGTTCCGTTACATTTGTCCCTGCCCTGGCACATTAGTTTTGACTTTCAAAGACTACCAAATCACTTTGATGAGGCGAAAATAATCTTAATATAGGAAAGTATAGTCTATGCCACCAATGCATGGCATATAAATTAGGAAGAGTATATAATGTAAACTATACGCCTTTAATACAAGGTTGTCATCAACTCTTTGGATATGAAATTGGGCAGTGTCCTATTGGTCAGATTCAAAGTTTAAAATAAACTTTTTTAAATTTTATGATGCACAAAAAACTATATTTATGTTTCATTTTATAAAAAAAACTACAGTGACTATGACATTATTGTTCTAAATGTTTCAATTAAAAAATATATATATTATATCATGCACTTTTTTAGTTAAATTTCTCTTAGGATCACTAGGATCAAAGCCTTTTTTGTTCGGCTAAGTCAGATCGGCCTAAAAATTAGTTAAAATTTTAATTAATCGAGGGCATTTTGTCATTTTAGGGAAAGATGTGGCACCTGACTTTTGGAGTACATCAGGGCCTGAGATAGCGGCCCTAATCGGACGGACACAAACAGAGGAACCCGATCCGACCAAACAAATCCAACGGGCGATAAGGCTCTCCGCCGTCTCAAAGCTCATCGCGAAAGCACTAATTCGCGGGGCCATTAGCCCCCACCTGCACACGACCCCAGCCGCCGTGTCATCATTTTCCGGCGCAATCAACGGCGATCCTCGCTCCCTCGCAAGCGCTAAGGCGTTCTCCGATGTAATCATGGCGGTGGAAAGCGCCGGGAGAAGCATCCATTTGGCCGGAGATGGCCGGGATCCGTCGGAATCCGGGGAGCACACGTCATTCTCCGGTGGCCTCTGGTGCTTTAATAGGTCGGGGCTTTTGCTTGTCCTCAAGGCCATAGCGGCCTCTGCATTTATCCACGTCAGCAAAAGCGGGGCCCCCGTCGCCGGAAAGTACAGTTTACCAGAGGGCGAAGTCACAGGAAATGGGATTTCTGGCCACGGGAGGTGTGACGGGTTCGAAAAGCAGTTGTGCTTCTCTCTAGGGATCAACAGCACCGAGCAATAATGTTTTTCCTTTTTTTTAGAGTGGGAACACGTGAGGATATGACATTTTGCGTTTTTTTTTTTTTTTGTGAAATTGGGGTTGTAAATAAATACAGTATGCGGTGGTTGTGAATGTTGCATTTTGTTGATTTTATAGGGTTTCAAAGGGCATTTTCATAATTTGGAATTTTGAAGCCTCTCTCTCAGGCTTTATTATTATTATTTTATTTTATTTTTTTGACAAAAATTACTGAATTTATTATTTATTTATTTTGACAAGTACACGTAACTTTATTGATCACCAAAGAACAACAACATAGTTACAACGCTAACGGAGAAATAAAAAAACAATCACCCTGCCCTGCTTTTTTTTCTAAAAAGTTTGCCCTATCATTCGCCTCTTTATAAAGATGGGAATTACTGAATTTATTATCAAAACAAAGCAAAACAGCACAAGAATTACATAGAATCTGAATAAATGATAGACAGTGTGACCCCTATCTTGATAGACACTCGTTAAAGAAATATGCAACGTTCAACAGTAAAGGGCCGTAACTTGGTGTTGGTCCCATCAAATCAGGGTTCCAGGTGGGGTGGCTTTGAAACAATTTTAACTTTTGGCTTATATACAAAGTGGCCGCTCTCAAGATTAAAACCTGCACACTTGCGTTGGCTACCCAAGTCTATAATTTGCATCCAAACTAATCTGAGTTTCTAGGGAATCTTCTACCGTCAAATTGTGTTTTGTGAATCTTCTATTATTAAACTGGGTCATGGTGGTAGCACCTCAACACCCTAATCACCACGTGGAAGCTTTCATTCTCACTTATACCACCTCGTTAACGGGTAGGGGCATTGGAATGTGAAAGCTATATTGCCTAATCATTCATGAAATCAAACATAGTTTTTATAGCCTTTGCCCACCATCCACCTCGAATGTCTCACAAAGAGCTCCTTACATTGCACAATCCCTTTCCAAATCGTTGAAACATACTTCCTTTCTTCACATCTCTTATAAGTAGAAAGTCTTTATCGGATCATATTCAGCAATCAACTCTTGACCTTTTCATACTTCGGAATCTGGACTTTTGGGCCTCTTGCATTCTAACACATGCTCAGATGCATGCAACGCCATTGTTAACGGGTTGGCCCAGCCTTGGCCCGACCTTGCTAAAAGGCTTGGCCCAAAATTTTGGTTTTGAGTCTGAATTGAGCCCGGCTTGAATTTATGATAACAAGGCCTGATCTAGGCATTGGACTAAAAAAAATGTGTGCTGCCGATATGAATATGAAAAATACAAAATACATACATTAAAAGATTACATGATAGGCTCAAGCCAAACAAGTAGTAGCCTAGGCCTGACACGAAATATTTTGGGCCTAGCAGATCATGCTGCAGACTTTAACAGGAGGCCCGAACTCAAAACTGTGGCTGGCCAAGAAGCCCCCAATCTAGGGCTGAGAATTTACTTGGTTTGGATCCGAGATCTGAATTATGGATCCTATCCAGATCTGAATATAGATCCATGATTTGGATCCGACAAGTAGGATCTGGATCCAAATATATTCGGATTGGATCGGGGTACAGGGGGATCCAATCCGAATCCCCAGATCCAACTTAGTTATTAATATATTGTATATTATATATACATATATATTACGTAGTATTTTTTGTTTTATATTAAAATAATATCCAAAATAATTTATTTTGGATCCGATCAGTCAGGATCCAACTGGATCCGGATCTAGATCCTAATCTCATGCTTTTTGAATCCAAATCCTATATATACTTTTTGGATTCCAAATCTGGATCCGACGGATCCAAATCCAATCCAATCCATTCTAAGCCCTACCCAGACCGGCTAGGATCTGGCCCTGGTCGCTATATCTAGTTCTGAAATTTTCTTGAGTGAAGGTTAGCTTGGAATGACTACGTTTTTGATACGCCTCAAATCGGACTGGCCTACGACACAGTGATGGGTTTAGTGCCTAATTTGAGAAATATGAGATGGCTCTCCAATTAGATTGTTGGTTTAGCCTTGAATGACTCATTAAGAGTGTTGGGCTAGGCCACCTATCCAAAATATAGTGCCCAAACTGGGCCAGGGCCCCTTTGGCCTAGTCTAGAGAAGGTCCCTTAGGATTGTGTTAGGCAATGGATCCTATGGCCCTTGTGTGGGGGATAGGCTAGGGGTGGCAATGGATCCAGATCCGATAGGTTGACTAGACCTAATTCATAATATGTGTCTAACATTTGGACCCAGCCGGTCATGTCCAGGTCCAAAACTTAGACCCAAACACTATTTGGGTGCGGGTGCGGGTTTGGGTCTATGTAAATCCGACTCCATTATTATGATATTTAATATATATATTGTAACAATCCTAAAATTTCAAAAAAAAAAAAAAAA